GCGCTTTGCCAACGTAGTCCAGTGTTTGATCGGCAAGGAAAAGAGCAGCCGGAGAAAAGAGGACGGAGATGAAGGAGGGAAACGAGATGAGAGAGGAGGAGGAGAAGGACGAGGACCACGAGGAGGAGGAGGAGGAGGAAAAGGAGGAGGAGGAGGACAAGGGAAAAAAGGGAGAGGAGGAGGAGGAGGAGGAGGAGGAGGAGGAGGAGGAGGAGGAGGAGAAGGAGAAGGAGGAGGTGGGAAAGGAGGAGGGGCAAGGGGAAGAGGATGAAGCGGATGAGAAGGAAGGAAAAGGAGCGTGGGAAGAGGGAGGAGAGGGACAGGGAGGAGGAGGAAGGAGGAAGGAAGGGGACGGGGGGGAGAGACGAGGAATATGGAGCAAGTGAGGAAAAGGGGAACCTTTTTTCCAAATCCCTCCAACAACAGCAGCAGCAGACGGTTGACAGGGCAAACGGCCTCTCAACTCAGCTGCTGCCTTTCGAACGCAGCTGAAGGAAACAACCTCTTGTCAGCAAGGCACACTGTCGCATTTTGCGAGCACCGTTCGCGTTATGCGGAATGGCTCACTACTTCGCTTCGCGAACGTAGTTCGCATGAGTCCGCTATCTGGTCACCTTTCGTTCTTGTCATTCGTGAGGTTGCTGCATCTGGCGCTTGGGGCAGCCTTCTTGTTGCGCCCCCCGCCCAATCTCACTGTGGAACGGACGTGAACAAGCCCGCCCTCCACGACGTCGAAGACGAGCTCTCTGCCGATGCTACCTTTCGTCATGGGGTCCGCTGCTCACATGTCGCGGGCGTCGCGCCACAGCATGCACGGTGAGAAGCTGGTCCGCTAGCCAACACGGGCGGTCTGCCATGCTGTTCTATGATGGCGGGCGCACGTGGTCCCTGGCCAGCGCCGAGAAGACGGGCGCGCCGTCTACGACCAGCTCGGCGGGCAGTGCGCAATCTCACTTCCCCCATTCGCCTCCGGATCTCGTCGGCAGAGGCGGGCTCTCGCACCGTCAAGTGGAGCGCGAGGAGGCGCGCCTGCAGCCTTCCTGCTGCTCCACGCGGGGCAAAGCAGCTCGGAACCGAATGGCGATCGACACGCGAGTTCGTGCGATCGTGACACGCGAGTGTGTGATCGTCTCTCAGCGTCGAGCAGGTGACAGATCTGTTGACAAAGCTGCGACACCTGCCCAGACGCATGTACGCGGCGCCTCCCATGCCGCGCCCTGACTCCTCCTCGCGTTCGAAAGAGCCGTCGCTGCGCGGGCAGATCTTGCAGGCGCGCCCCGTCGCCGGGTAGGCGACGCGCGCCTCGATCGTCTGCGTCGCCAGAACAACGGCGCTAAGCTGCACGACGTGCCCGATTAGCAGCGTGTTGTCGGCCCTCGGCAACGCGAAGATGTCGGCGGCGATGCGGCGTTGCGCGAGCAGCGCCTAGGCGGCTGCTCCGAGGAGGGCGACAGATAAGTCTGGGAGTGGGCCCCGGCCTTCTACTTGACCAGGTCGACGTGCCAGATGGGGGTCGGTCAGTCGAGCGTCGCGCCGCCGTCGGCAGCGCGCAAGTGGTGGACGCCGCAGTTGCTGGAGTCGCCGTAGTCCCCCTTCGCAGACGCTCTCTAGGGGGCAAACAAACCTACCTCGATTTTGACCACCCTCGCTTCCAAGGGATACCAAGCGATGACAAACTACGGCCTGTACTGGTCAGGCCGCTTGACGAGGGGGCGCGTAGTATGATTTGGTTTTGCCTGGAAGCGAACGCGGGGTAGGCAACTCACGCTCTGACTCTCGACGTGGCCGGCGAGGCGGTCGACGTGCTCCTTGTGTCCTGTCATCTTGAGGTCGTCAACGCGCTTGAACAGCATGGGCGCTAACTCCAGGGCTCCGGCGCCAAGGGCGCCGGGCGCCTCGTGCTTGACCTCGAGCTCTGGGCCCTCCCGCGTCGGCCGGGCGCCGCGCTCCTCTGAGCGCGCGACCCTGGCGAGCTGCGTGGCGAAAGCTCTGGGTGCATCCTTGCAGCCCGCTGCGCGGCTCGACGCAGCGCAGGCGCGTGATCCGCTCGCAGCCTGGGGCCTGCCTGAAGATGGCCGCGCTGCCAGTCGGCCGGGTGTAATTAACCTACCTGCGTGTTTCACCCCGCCCTTCCGTCTCGGCATAGGTCGCGCCCCTCCGCGCCCGCGGCGACGCGCGCCCGGTCCGGGCGACGGGCCGCCACTGAGGACGAGATGCGCTGAGACGCCCGCTTCGCTGTTGCGGAGGACGCCCCCAGGGCTCCGGCGCCCGCGTCGCGGATGCTCCTCGGCGCCATTCGGCGCTGGGCGATCCTGGCGGTCTTGCCGCCCGATCCCTTCCGGCGCGGCACGACCTCGATGCGCTGCCCGCGCGAAGCCCCGAAGTCAATCGGGGCGCCGCGGGGCAGGCGCCGCTCGATGCACTGCTGCGCCTTAGAGCTGTCGATCGACTTCGAAGCGAGGATGAGCCACCAGCGCGCTCGCAGCTCTCTCCGGCCTTGGAGGGCGAGGCGGCGCCTCCATGGGGCCCATTGGTGCGACCGTTTATAGGGGGCCCGAACGATCTTTCGGAGTTTCTCGACAGGGATGGCGTCGGCCGGCCCGCGAGGGCGGCGATCGGCACTCTGCGCCAGAGATCGCCGACGGACCTCGAAGTCGCGGCGCAGGGAGGCCGACGCGCTGGCGAAGGTGGCACCGCTTGACAGGGTGATGGAGTCGTCATTGATGACCAGGAACTGCTTGCCCAGGTCGGCGGCGGCCTGGGGGCGCCTTGCGAGCGTGTTGTCCTGGAGCAAGATAATTCTGAAGATCGGCCGTCATGGTAGCCGTCGTGACGCGGTGATGACGCACGGCGATGACGCGGCCAACGACGTGCGCGGCGATGACGCGGCAGCCGCGGTAGCCCGGGCGGGCAGCGTCATCGGTGGACAGGGGGACCCAATCATCGCGAACCACGCGAGCGGCTCCTACCGGGCGGGAAGCGCTCGCGCGACGGCCAGCGGTTCTCGAAGGGAACGCAGGCGGTGTCGGAGGCTTCGATGAGCATGCTGCAGGAAGGCGGATCATCTGGGGCCACGACAGATCGCGGGCGGGGTGGCCCGTTCGCCGGGAGGCGTGCGCGGCTTGATGCCGATGGTTGAGGTGATGACGAAGTGGTCACTGGCGCGCCTTTGCGATAGGATAGTAGCGTCGTTGGCAATGTCGAACCGCAGGGTGAACCCCTACGCGGCATGCGATGGGGGCCTGATGCAGGCGCGGTCGATCGCCGACGCCGCGTTGTTCGCGATGCTGAACCAAGTCGGCAGGTCCGACTCGACCCAGGGGGTGGAGTCGAAGAGGGATTTCGAGAACAGCTGCTGTTGGCGGCTGTAGTTGTCGAGCGCGGAGCGGGCGCGTTGCGACCGCGGCTGGGGCGAAGTGTCAGGCGGGCGGCTGGCGGCGCTGAAGTCGCCCATCGCCGGGAGCGCGCGGCGCTGGCAGTCTTGCTCTGCTCGCCCCCGGCGCATGCGCCGGGCGGCGCGGGCCCCGTCGCGATCGCGGGCGGCCAGCTCGGAATTGTGGGCGCTCATGAGGGCCAGCGCGTTGCCCGATGGAAAATTGGCGGCGGCAAGCAGCTGGGCGCGTCCAGGGGCGAGTGCGCCGCGAAGGATGATCGGCATTAGGTCTCGTTGAAGATGCTCGAGCTGCATCGGCGCAAACCTCGGGGCGAGGGCGGCGACGCCGCCGACGGCTGCGGGCGCGAGGCCCTCGGCGGAGGCGAACTCGGGGAGAAAGAGCTCGCGCGGGCACGGCCGCGCGTCCACCCGAGCGCGGAGCAGCGCCTCGGAGCCGCGCCCCCTGCAGGACGGCGACGCACTGGCACCGCGTGAACATGGAAAGGACGGCCCGCGAGCGCTTCGGCGGGCGCGCTCGCGGCGCGCCAGCGCGCGGGCGTTCCAGCCGGCGAAGGGGGCCCCCGGCGAAAGGCGTTCGGGCGCAGCGCCCGCGGGCGGGTAGGAACGCCACACAGCCGACGCGGCGCCAGGGAAGAAGACCTGGAAACGCCGCAAGAACGGTGGCGCGGTCCAAGCCTTAGAACTGATGGTGATCGAGGGCGCTCTCGTTCCACGCAGAGATGGTGGCGTCGGCCTGGCGGCCGGCGTCGGGGCGGGCGATGGGCGCGGCGCCCTCGTCGTGGATGGCGCGCCGCTGCAGGCTGGGGCGCGGGCGTTGAAGCAGCGCCTGCAACTTTTTGCGTCGGTGATCGGCTTGAACTTGCTTCGGCGACGCGCCTGGCCCAAGTAGAAGTCGACGCGCTGCCCGGCGGCGCCCGCGGAGACGAAGCGCCCCCCGCTTGCCGCTTGCCGGCGGCGTCGCGAAGGGCTCTTTGGCAGGCGAACGCGAATGGAACGGCGACTTCTTGGGCGCCTCCGACTTGCAGAATACAGCGGCGGACGGGTTGAAGGCCTGCGCCGCCAATCCACTCAAGCAGATCGTCGAGGAGGAGTTCGGGGGAGACGTGGCGCTGACAGCCGACGGTGAAGAGCGCGGGGCCCGGGGCAAGGCCCCACTCGGCGAGCCGCGCGAAGTCCACGATCGAAAACGGCGCCCCTACGAGAGCGAGGGCGTCGCGCATCTGGTCGATTTAGTGCCGCGTGCGCTGCTGTTCGCCAACTTGGCGATCTTGCTCGCGACGGGCGTTATCAACCGAATCCGCCGGGATGTCAGCTCGGCGCTCTGCCTGAAGAAATTGCGGCTGAAAGAGGTAACGGGCCATTTGTGCACTTCTTTTGAAAAGCCGATCTGCGCGAGCGCGGGGGGATTCGGCGGCGCCGGCAACCTGCGTCTGCAAGAATTTCTGAAGGGCGGCGCCCAACTCTTCGGGGAGGCCAAGAACTCCGACTGCAGGGGTGAGGCAAGGGGTCGGATGCACATCGCCGCGGGCAGCGGGGGCTTCCAAGCGGCCGCTTCCTTGTGGGCGCTCTTGCGATGAGAAGGTGGGGAATTTGTCCACGTCGCTGG